TTGCTCTCAAGAGGCAGGTATGAATTTGGGGCTTCTAATTTTTTGAGGTGAGGATTCTAATTTTTTAGGTTATGAGCATATTCTGCCTGTTCTAGATGAAAGGCAAAAACATCTGCTTGGGTTAAACCTCTTCTTTCTGTCTGAAACCGTTATGTGCTTTTGCTCCTGAGACTCTGAACTACTGGGCAAACCCTTGTACACAGGCTTTCCCTCAAAAATATCAGCCAAACCCAAAACTTTGTCAATTTACAGGTTTTCAAATATGACCACTTAGTGGTCAGAGCTTTGTTGATGAGATCTGATTTTGAGTCTGTTCTGAAGTTGCTAAAAGGAAAAGCAAACCTTACCTGGGCATAGTTGCAGGGCTGTCTCATGTGGTTTTCTCTTATTTCTTCCAAGATGTTTCACGTTTTGACTTCTGCAGAAAGCCAGGAGTGCTCTAGTCCGGCATATGGTTTGGTGAGATGCATTTCTGACTCTGTACAGCTTATTTATAAATGGGAGCTACAAAATTGCTCCCAGGGCAGGCAGGTTCCTCCTTCCTCCTTAACTCTGGTGCCGGGGAATCAAGGGGAATCCTACTCCTGCATCAGGAATGGCTTGAAAATATCAGTGTTCCTGCTGTACAAACCCTCAAGACACCCAGCCACGGGCTTTAAATCCCTGTCCCAGGGGGAGGAGGAAAGGCTGGACTGTCTCGGGGTGATAGCAAAGTTTAAAGCCTGTACACACTCCGTGTGCAGAGGTGACTGGATTAAATTGTGCCCATGCAGACACTGCAGTGCAAATTCATATAAAGCACTCATGTTTTCTGCACTGGAGCAGTGGCTCTTCCTCTTGGCAAATTCATGTCTCTGCCATGGGAGCTGGGTCAAGGCTTTCTCTTGAGCAGGGTGGAACACCTCCTGGTGTTATCTTGCTGGCTGTTGGAACTATGTTTTGAACTTTGGGAAGAGGATGGGGAGGAGACCATTTGTGTCTGTCTGCCCTCAGGGTTATTCCTATCGCTCTTTTCTGGTTATCTTGCTTTTCAAGGGAAGGTAACATCCAGTTCTCCTCATGCAGTGTTTTTGTTTCTTTTTCGTGGCTTAGTCTATTCTTTAACTGCCAAAGGAATTAAAGGATTAATTTGAATTCCAGTGTACTTGAGATACTCCCTAACTTATCGCTGTTTATTTTCTTGTGCCTTTTCCGTTTTCTCAAACCCGCAGGCATGAAGAGATTAATAAAGCAGCTTCTTTATAGAGTTCACAGTGCAAGCAAGTGCTGGCTGTTTGTCATAGGTTACCTGTCACAGCAACACTCTCTTTGTGCTAAACACCATAGGTGGTAAAGTTCTTGAAGAAGATAAATAGGATGAAATCTGTCTCGAGTGCATGTTGAAACTGCCCCCTCTGAAATGTGCTGTGGTGTTGGAGAGCTGGAGCCTCAGTCCCTTGGGACTGCAGGAGTGGGACTTCCCTGAGGGTCAGTCAAGACCCCAGGTTTTCTCCTGGCATCTTGTCCTTTTGTCTCCCTTTGCTCTTTCTCCTCTCCAGAAAGGAAAATCATCGGCTGAACTTAATCTCGACATATGTTCCTTTTTAATTTTGTTACGCCGGGAGGAGAACTGGAGCAGGGAAGGAAATAGGGTGGCGTGGGGGCACATGAAACTGGGGCTTTGCAGCGTGTCACGGAGGGGTGAAGGGCTCCAGGTGTAGTCAGAGCTCTGGGGCTTTCTAGTCCCTTGCACACCTGGGCCCCTTAAATGGGACACACGAGTATATAGGGCACGAGCACAGAGTGGTCTGTGCCTGCAGCTGTCTGTGCCCAGCTGGCAGCTCGAGCATCTGAAATCTGGAACTCGGCGCTGTGAAATCTGCTCTGCAGCTCCACCACCATTTGGAGAAGACGGAATTCTTGCGTCAAGCCAAGACTAAAACAGCACCGTCACGATCGGGTTTTGTTTTACTCCAGTTGAATCGTCTTCCCATGTGAAACTCCAGCGTTCCAGGCTGGGAAGGCAGCTCTCCCACCCGCCTGGGTGGCCATGTCACTGCTGCCTCTTTCCCTGGGCAGGTCCTGGTGCAAAGCTGAGCACGTGTCACTGCAAAGCTTTGGCGTTTGGCAGCTCGACAGCAAAAGTGTTGTGCCATAAACAGGTTGGATCTGCTCCTGCAGGCACTGCTTGGAAAGTAGCGACAGCGTTTGTGAGTGTTCCTGATCCAGGTGGGGTTTGGAAGGAGTTTTTGAAGGAAAACAGCCCAACATTTCCAGTTTGGGCAGGTGTCCTGCTGTGACACTTGATGTATTCAGTCATTGACAGGAATTATTCTTCTCAGAGCATCATCCAAAATCTGTGACAGCATTTGACTCTTTAGGAGTCAGCTAAAGTGACACGGTGGAGTGACTTGGAGACATTTGGAGGAGCATCTCAGCATCCTCCCTGCACATCTGGAGGCAGCACTGAAATGTTGCTGTTGGTGAGCCAGTAAATATTTCTGAGTGGTGAAATCTGAAGAATGAGGCCGGGAAGGCAGCGTTTCCCCAGGGATCAGCTCCCTGGCTCATTTTTAGCCCCAGGTCAACTCAAGGCTGACTCAAGCCCTTGGTCACAGTCTGATTTGCTCACATGATTCTCATTAAATGGATGTGTTTAGGCTAAAAATGGGGAGCTTCAGAAAGATGGTTTTTATCTGCATTTATAGATGCCCCAGGTCATTAGCAGGAAGCTTTTAAATTTAACAATCCTGTTTGCTTCTTGTCTGTCGGAGTGGGCTTGGAAAAGAAGGTGTTGGCTTCTTGTGGGCTTTGGTTTTGGTGTCTCACACAGTAGCTGGTTTTATTTTGGGGCTGTAAACTCCATGTGAAATTTATTCCCCCCCCGTAAATTAACCAAATTAGTTCTGCTTTTGTAACGTGCCCTTGGAGCATTTTAGGAGGAAGGAGGAGAAAACTTAAGGATTAGTTTCACGCTGTTTCTCTCTAAGGCATGGCAATATCGGGTTGGCCAATGTACACCTGGAAAAGGGGTTTTCATGGGAAGGAGATCAGAGGAGGCAGGAGGGTGGCAGTGGGTCCCTGGGTGGTCATCAGGCAGCTAACACTGAGTGCTGGATAGGCACAATTAGTGCTGTTTTCATTGAAAAATTTGGGTCATTTAGCAACATGGTTGTGCATCATATTCATGCACAGGAATGGCAGGAAGAGTCTGCACTTAAAGGTTCAATTGTATGAAAGTTGGACCAAATGTACATGAATAGTACTTTGCAATATGGCTTTAATATGGCTGTTATATGTTAATAGCAGTTTTCTCTGGCTTCAGTATCTCCCCATGTCATGAAAGAAAAGCTTAGAATTTTTTCCTTTCTTTTTGAAAGCAGGCTTAGACAAATGAAGACACAAACATTCTGGGATGTGGCTTTTATAGCAATTCCAGCCCCACTACCCCCATCACTCCACCTGCACTGACAGGGGCAGGAAAAGATGGGTTTTCAGTGTGTATCATCTCTGCTTCCCCTTCCTGCAAAGAACAAAAAAAAAATGTTAGGAATAACGAAGTTCATTTGTTACCTCTCTGGCATTACCCATGACTTGCCATAAGGAGAATAAATGAGGCAGCTCCGTGGCAGAGCAGGTGCTGGGGGCTGACAGAGCAGATCCCAGGCAGCAGCACGAGGGCTCAGGTGCCAGTTTGTGTTTTCTCTGCTCTCCAAAGCAGCGTTTTTGTTGTTGGGAGTTGAAGTAGCAGGTTCTGCGATTGTGTTTCAGCGCAGAAGTTTGCCATGTATTCAGTGCTTTATGGGAATACAGCATTTAATCGCTCTGCCAGGACTCGAAAGCTGAATTTCTTACAGCTGACAGATACTGGTAATAACTGTGAATTACAAATCAGATTGTAGCTGTCCAGAGCCCAGCGTGCATCACCAGAGAGGTGGAAGTTGAGTGTCTGCACCTCCCTCCCTGCCTGGGCTGGGGTGCAGGTAAATGTGCTGGGAACACCCCGTGGTGTTCCCATGCAGCAAGTGCTGGAGCATGGTCACAACTCGTTAGTGAGCTAATTGAACGAGGCAAGGGGCAGCTCGAGGAGCAGGGAGTGGGGACCATGATCTCAGAGGGATGATTTGTTGGGATCATGGACACCGGAGACACTGGCAGTGCAATACAGAGCACCCCTGGAATGGCGTTGGCTCCCACAGGAGCTGTGCTTTGGAGATCCTTAGGCTTTTTCTGCTGAGTGTCTGGATTTAAAGAACAAAACAATACCCTGAAACACACCCCTCCAAAAAAAAAAATGTCCCCCAGAACCCCAAGACTTGCTTAAAAACGGATTTCCTCCTTTTCCTCTTGTTTTCATCTAAGGGTGCCTTGTGAAGCTGATCCCAGCCACTAGAGCTGGGAGTGTGGTCACACTGTTCCCCTGAGCTGGGATGTCCCTCAGAGGCTGGAAAGGAAGCCACAGTGTGAGGTGATGTGTTAGACCCTAGAGACTGCACACAAGGGAGAGGACGTGAATGGCTGGTGTCAGTTCAGCTCTGCAACCCCAGGCCCATTCTGGTCCCTTGCTGGCACAGCACAAATCCAGGTTACCTGTTGCACGGCTCTGAGAGGTTGTGATCCCTCTGGAGAGGCTCCGTGCTGGTGAGGAGCATGTGGGCACAGCAGGGGAGTCTCAGGGGGATCTTAAATGGGGGCAAAGTGAAGCAAATGGGCAAAAATACTTTGAAGAAGCATCTTCAGGCACGAGGGGTGAGAAGATGCTGTCAGGAGGCTGGAGTGGTGGGCATGGACACTGTGAGCATGCACCCAGGGTGTCTGTCCCAGCTCGGGGCCACATCCTGCCTGTTCCCTGCAGCCTTGGGGCCACACGGAGCAGTGTGGGAACCTTGTGGGAACCTTGTGGAAACCTTGCTTGCCTTCCCTCCCGCCTCTTATCTTCACCCGGGCAACTGCTCGTGTGCTGGGCGGGGAAACGTGTGTCCCTGACTGTCACTAAGCCTTGCCACCTTCTCTTGGTACAGTTGCTGGTGAGAAGAGGGTGCCAGTGATGCCCGGATCGCCCGTGGAAGTGAAGATACAGTCCAGGTCCTCTCCTCCCAACATGCCACCGCTGCCCCCCGTGAACCCCGGCGGACCCCGGCCCGTGTCCTTCACTCCGACTGCACGTAAGACCCCAGGAGCTCTGCTTTTCCCAGGGATTAGCTGTATCCAGGAGGGAAGGCTGTGCTCAGAGCACTCACTGGGGATGTCTCAGCCATTAGCATTAGCCATGGGTTGCTGCTGTTAGGAAGGTGGGACTGGGGCTTTCCTGCTGTTCTGCAATGCAAGCAGGATGTCTGTATTCCCCCTCTGCCCCCCTGCCTGCTCCTATCTTGCTCCTGGTGCTGCCTTGAGTCCTTCTCTTTGCAGGTGCAGCTTTGATTTCCACCATAAACTCCTTAAGAAATTGAAGTCTTTTATCAGGTCGGCTTCAAACAAGCCAAGTGCTGGGCTTTTCACTCTATCTTTTGGAGGAGTTAATTCCCACTCTGCTGTATCTCGCTTTGCAGACAGCATTCCTGCAGCTGAGATTAGAAAGTTTTTCTTTTTTTTTAATTTCCCAGCCTTGAAAATTCCTTGCTGTCCATCCAGATTCTCTTTTCTCCATCTTCTCTGTATAATCTTTCCTATTAAGGCACGGTCGATCCTGATCCTGCCCGGCCATAGCACAGCCTTGCACCCACTTTTTTCTAGCAGGGTGTTGCTTAGAGGTGATCCACAGATGGGATGAACCTCCAGCCTTTTCGTACAGCCTCTGTTTTCCTCCCTTAGCCAATGTTTAGGCCATTTAACATCTTTTTAAAAGCATCATTTCATAGCAAAGCTGCTTTACTTTGTTGGTCGTGGAGTTATCTGACCCCTGCACATGGCGTGTACATATTTTCCAGGCCCTTCTCGCCCCTTTTTCCCTGCACAGAGTGTTCCCTAGCTGGCTCTGCACTGCTCTGCTGTCCGTGACAGCGTCTGGGCTATCTCACAGATCCACACTGGCAGTGGGATTCGGGGATTTACAATCCAGCCTCTTGGAGGACACACACTGATGTGCTGCGTGATGCTGGCAACAGCACTAATCACTGGGTTATCCCGCCAGACACATTGTCCCCATCTTTATGTGCTGAGGGATTTTTAATGGCTCTCCTTTTGCTCAGGCAGAAAAAGACCATTAGCAAAGTGACAGAAATTAATTTTTCCAATGAGGATGCTTGGCATGCTGTTAAGGGCCGAGAAACCTGAATCTGCTGATTGCAGATGACTTAATTGCCTCTTTCCAAGACAGATGAGAGCTGCGACCTGTGAGGAAGTTCATTCTTGCTTTTTTATTTCTCAGTTGCACCAGAGGGGCTTGGTCAGAGTCAGTGAGTGTGTGTCTTGCCCTGTCAAAGCCCACAGCTTGGGCAGGTGAGAGGAGCACGTTGGAACAAAGCCTTGCCTACCTGTGGATCGCTAACAAAGAGTTGGAGAAGCAGCAAAACCTTGTGACTTTTGAGGACCTAGGGCAGAATTTAAGCGTAGCCCGAGAGGATGACTTTGTTCCCAGGAGTTTATCATCCTCCTCTCCCCACACCAGGAATCCCCCTGGTCTGGAGGTGCCGCCTCGTTCGCTTCAGTGCTGTCGTCTCACCTGGAAAGGGAGGTCCCAGCCCGGCTGTGTGGGCTGTGGTGCAGCAGCTCCTGGTGATGTGCAGGATCAGATAACTGCCAGCTGCCCTGCGGTGACGCCGTTGGCAGAGGGTCAGGAGGGGTGAGCCCAAAGACGCGGGGAGCGGTTACGGGGTCTGTGTGTAACGGCAGCCCCGGCCCCACTCACCCCGCTCCGGGGGATCACCCTGCACTGCCAACATCCCCTACTCCCTTGGCAGCCTCTCCCGAGGGTCCCCCACAGCCCCCAGGGATTGCCCAGCCCCTGCTTCTCCCAGGGTATAAATAGAGCCTGTTGCTCTCCTCAGGTTTTCATCTGAAAGAATAAGAGGAAGTGAAATAGAGAAGGGGGAAGCGCCTCAGTTGTGGCTGTCAGAGAGCACGGAGCTGTGCAGCCCTTGGCTGTTTGAGGGGAGCTTCTCTGGGCGGCTTCCCCCCTATTTATAACGCTTTTATTGGGAAATAAATATCTTTATGGGTAACTGTCAGAGGCCTTGCCTTTCACATAGCTCTGGTTTTTCTGGTACTCCATGCTAACTAACCCTGTGGGTGCGTCCTGACATCCCTGTACCTTTGCCACTGCAGGGAAGCCAGTGTGGACAGGAGTTTTCCAGGTTGCTTTTCTCCATAACAAAAGGCATGAACTCACTTTGCCTTTGCACCTCCATCCTCTCAGTCCTGGCCTTCACCTTCACCTCGTCATTTCTCAGTCTATGAAAGGCCACGTTTTTGTTATCCCCCGAGGAGCCTGTCAGCCCTTGGTTAGCAGGAACCACCTTTGATGGTCTCAGTAGCCTTATCTTTCCTTGCATCTTAACTGACTCTGGTTAAGTTTCCCTCCTGTGCTCACCACTAAGGTCCAGGTGTGTGCAGCCTTTCCAGCCTCCGGCCCTGGTGTGCCCCAGAGTGGTTTAACTGTTCCAGTGCCTCCTGTCTTCTCTGAAAAACCCCTCACTGGGTTCAGCAGGATTTGATATGATCCTTGTGAAGCTGCAGTGGAAGTTTTGGCTTTTTATTTTGGTTTTTTTTTTTTTTGCAAGTTGCTGCTCCTCCCACGGGCCAAAGGCAATGCTGCTGGGTGGCATCAGGGCTTCTCTTGAAATGGTTTTTACAGCTTGTGGCCTCTTTATCAGCACTTACATCCATAGGGGATTCAGGGCTGGGCTTTTGAGGATAACCCAGTGGATCAGCAACAACTGTATTTCCAGTGATGTGCTTTTCACCTCTGAAATCCTGGGTTTATACCAAGTTGGGGCCCTGGTGCACAGCTGCTCGTCAGACAGGGCTCGGGATTGCACAACCACGGCCCAGGGATGTCAACAATTTATTCTAATCCCTTGCCGAGTTCCCAGACTTCCAGCCCTTCAGTCTGTTTTGAATGCTCACCACTTACGGGAGGCAAAGCTGCAGATGGGACCAGGTTGTTAAAAACAACAGTGTTTGCGAAATTCCCTGTAGATCCCTGGGGACGGGTGGCGGGCGCTGCTGGGGCAGGATCTGTCAGCACCCCTTGGGGTGAGGTGGAGGCACCTGAGCTGCCATCCCGAGTGGAAAGCACCAGGCCACAGGGACGTGCCCACCTGATGCTCAGTGTTGCTTCCATCTCCCGTTTGCAGTGCCCAATGGAATCAACCATTCCCCCCCAACGCTGAATGGAGCCCCATCCCCGCCCCAGAGGTTCAGCAACGGCCCTTCCTCCTCCTCCTCCTCCTCGCTGACAAACCAGCAGCTCCCAGCCACGTGTGGTGCCCGGCAGCTCAGCAAGCTGAAGCGCTTCCTCACCACCCTGCAGCAGTTTGGCAACGACATCTCACCGGAGATCGGGGAGAAGGTCCGGACCCTCGTCCTGGCACTGGTGGTAAGTCCTGCACCAGCCCAGGCTGCCTGGATTTTCCCAGAGCGCTTTGGCCATGGGATCTCAGCAGCCAGCACATGCCCCCATCCCACAGTGTTCTCTCTGTCTTTGCAAGCAGAGCTGGGGGCTGAGCAAGACTGTCATGTTTGTGCTTTCTGGGAAACTTGCTGACTTCTTTTTTCTTATCTCTAGTGGGTTTCAAAAAGCTGTTTATCCAGTGGCTTTGACATGAGCCTTGTGTGCAGCTAGTCTTGAGGAAACCTGGAAGGATTTGGACAAAGCTTTTCTGTAAATCATAGAATCACGAAATGGTTTTGCTTGGAAGGGACCTTAAAGATCATCTCGTTCCAACCCCCTGCCATGAGAACACCCCTCCAACCCAAATGAATGGGCGTAGCTGTGGAGTTGTACCCAGTATTTGCAGTTATACAGACTGAGAGAAGTGCTGTGCAGTGTGTTAGACATTATGCTCTGTGTGCTTTACAAGGATGTGGAGCGATAGGACAAGGGAGGAATAGCTTTAAACTGAAAGTAGGTTTAGATTGGATATTAGGAAGAAATTCTTCCCTGTGAGGGTGGGGAGGCCCTGGTACAGGTTGCCCAGAGAAGCTGTGGCTGCCCCTGGATCCCTGGAAGTGTCCAAGGCCAGGTTGGACGGGGTTTGGAGCAACCTGGGCTAGTGGAAGGTGTCCCTGCCCATGGCAGGGGGTGGAATGAGATGAGCTTTGAGGTCCCTTCCAATCCAAACTATTCTAGGATTCTGTGACCTTGGACTGAGGCCCTAGAGCCCAGCACCACACAGCCTGGCCAGCTTCGGTCCCATGGGGCACCCAGTGGGGCTCCTGAGCTGATCTCTGCTTTTTGGCACGTTTCTTTTGAGGCTCAGCATGCAGTGAAGGTCACTAGACTGCAGCAGCCTGGAGCATTTCCGCTTCCAAGGTTGGCATGGGCTGCAAATGTGGGTCTGTCCATGTCCTCAGGAGTGTTCTCAGTGCTTGAGCACTGGATGCAAAGTGCTGCTGCTGCATTTATGTAGCACAGATACTTCCATGGGTAGTACCTTAGCTTACCCTGTTGGAAAGGAAATGATAAGCTGTCCAGGTCCATCCTGGGTTGTGGTAATTGCTGCAGGGATGAGCTTTGTACAGGCAGGTTACCAAATGCTGCTTTTCCCAGGGAGCCCCCAGCCTGAACAGCCCCAGGGGGTGCAGGGCTGGGCCAGGAGAGGATCATGGTGAGCAGGAGGCTGATGGAGACTTTGTGGATGGTCCTTAGGTTAGAGGAGGAGAGCTGGAAGGGAAGGAAGGAGAGGGAGGTGTGCAGCTCTGAGCAGCTGGGATCACTGGCTCCCTGCAGCCCGCCCCAGGCCACTGGGCCAGCGTGCAGGAGATGCCAGCTGGGCTGTGCTGCCTCCCAGAGCCAGCCTCTGCCTCCCAGCCCCAGAGCTGGGAGGATGCTGGGCCAGGCAGTTCCCACCCCTCTCCGGGTGCAGTGTTCCTGCTCCTCTGGCCTGAGCCTTTTTGGCTGCGCTCGGCAGGATCCGATGCAAACACTGCCAGCCCCGTCGTGGCAGATGCAATCACCCTCCCGCTTCTGTTCCTTTGGAGCTGTTTCCCATATGTCTAAAAATAAGAACAAATTGTCATTTCATCTCTTAATTTCTTTTCTCAGAACTCGACGGTGACAATCGAGGAATTTCACTGCAAACTGCAAGAGGCGACGAACTTCCCCCTGCGGCCGTTTGTGATCCCCTTTCTGAAGGTGACAGGGAGCTGCTGGGGCTTGCTGGTGCTCCTTGTGCCAGCCTGTGCTGCTTGGCAGCGTGACATTGCTGGGAAAGCTCTCCTTGCAAGCACCACAGCGGTTTTGTTAAGGTCCAAGACAGACTGCACAGACCGTAGTGGTGGCCATGTGGGACTGGCTCGCGGCAGGCTGGAACGTGTGCCACTTATGTCTGCTTGTGTGCTGGGGATAAAGGAGGCAAACCAAGCTCCATGTGGCAGCTCAGATCTAGAATATTTGAAGTGCTGGCACATGGAGCATGTCTGGGGTGTATAGATTGCAGAGTCACAGCATGGTTTGGGTTGGAAGGGACCTTAAAGCTCATGTGGTTGCAATCCCCTGCCATGGGCAGGGACACCTTCCACCTGACCAGGTTGTTCCAAGCCCTGTCCAACCTGGTCTTGAACACCTTCAGAGGTGGGGAGTCCACAACCTCTCTGGGTAACTAGATTATGGAAGCACAGAGTGATTCTTGTGACACTTGGGTTTTGGGTGTACCGATGTCAGCCCATCCTCAGTTCCTGGGAAAGTACAGGTGAGTCTGTCAGTGCAGACACCAGGAGCTGGAGCATCCTGAGGGGGGCCACAGGCGTTACCTCTCTGAGGTATTAATGAAGAAGAGCAAACCTTCTGGAACGGCTGGAAACTCCTGCCCCCTCTGTAATCCAGACCCGTGCTTGTTTTCCAGGCCAATCTCCCGCTGCTGCAGCGGGAGCTGCTGCACTGTGCCCGTGCTGCCAAGCAGACACCTTCCCAGTACCTGGCACAGCACGAGCACATCCTGCTCAACACCAACACCACGTCCCCCGCCGACTCCTCTGAGCTGCTCATCGAGGTGAATGGCAATGGGAAGAGGCACAGTCCAGACAGGTAAAAACAGCTGTTGTCATTCTCTTAAGTTGTTGAAGTTGTGGTTTTCATTTTAGCTTTGCTGCTGGCAAAGCTTCAAGCAGCATCCAGGGTCTTATCACTCCCAACAACTATTCTGGCTGTTAAAGACACCAATGGCTGCTCCTCCTGCACTGTAAATTCAGGTCATGTTCCTCTTTCAGGCAGGTTTTGTCCCAGAGGGATTTTTGGGTAGCATTGAAAAGCCAGAGCTGGAGAGCTGAGCAGTTTTTCACCGCCCCAGCAGTAAATGGAGGCACTGGCAGGGCTGGGAAGGATGTGGTTCATTTTCACCACTTTTTATTCCAAGATAAAAGTTGTTATGTAATTATGTGGAGCATGCCTCAAATTTATAAAAACTGTGAAATTTTAATTTGGTCATGCTCAGAAAGATGAATCACAACACTCGGGCATCCTGAGCCTTTCCTTTGACAGGGTCACTCTGAGCATCGCTTCACAAATTGAGTGTGTTTGTTTGAGCCCCCTGCATTAACCCCCTGGTAAAATCATCGCTGCCCAGACTCTGCTGATTCAAAAACTGCGTCTTTCCCTTTCTGAGAGTGCGTTTGTGGGATGCTAATGAAGGCTTTTCCATGCTGGTTGCAGGAGGGAAGACAGCAGCTTTGAGAGGGAACCGCTGCCGACAGAGCCCCCGGCCAAGAGGGTGTGCACCATCAGCCCCGCGCCCCGGCACAGCCCTGCCCTCACCATCCCCCTGATGAACCCCAGCGGGCAGTTCCACCCCACCCCGCCGCCCCTCCAGCACTACACCTTGGAAGATATCGCCACCTCCCACCTCTACAGGGACCCCAGCAAGATGTTGGAGCACAGAGAGATCCGGGACAGGCACGGAGGGCTTGGTGAGAGAGACTGGAGGGCTCTTTGTTGAGCTCTGGTGTCGGTCCCTGCTCGGCCACCCGAAGCTGTGTAGTGCTGGGCATGTGCTCAGCAGGGTTTTTGCAGGGAATTCAGAGGAAACAACTCACCATGGAAAGTTAAAGACAGGAAGATTTAGAGTTTATATTTCCCTGTATATGTGTGAAGACTGGAGCCACTGAGGATGAGGAGGAAGGATCTGGTGTGTGAGTTGAGTGTAGCCAACTCAGTAGGGCAGGGAAGTAAAAGTAACGTCTCCAAGATCAGGAGAGCAGGGCCTGACCCCCTGCCCCGTTTCTCCCTTAGGTGTGTGGGAGGTGTACACTGTTTTTCCAACAGGACAGCCTGAATCACAAGCTCTGCGCTCCCCTGTTTATAACAAAGGAACCAGCTCCACAAGCAGGTCAGAGCCAGAGCCACAAGTGAATTGTAGCACTTTACAGAAGTGACACAGACAGGGATGAAAAAGCACCAGCATGGAATTGCCCCTGTAGAGCCACAGCCCTGAGATGTGTTTTAAAATCCCAGCTATATGGAGCTGGAAACAGAGCTCTTTATTGTCCCTTGGAGCACTGCAAACAGTTGGTCCATCTAATCCCTCTCTGGTTGCAGGTTTGAATGGAGGGTACCAGGACGAGCTGGTGGATCACCGCTTAACGGAGAGGGAATGGGCTGATGAGTGGAAACATCTCGATCACGTGAGTAATGGCAGGAGGTGTGGGAAGCTCTGTGGGATGCAGCAACCCATTGCTCCACCTGCTCCAGTTTGTGATTTCCTTGTTGTTGGTTCTATATCCAGGCTCTCCCAGTGGCTGGTAGAGGAACGAGGTGCCACAAGCAGGTGGATGGTGGGGAGGGTGGATAGGAGCTGTAGCACTTCCCTGGCAGGTTTTCTCTGCCCGTGGTCAGGGGAAGCCAAAATCAGTGTGGATGAAGTGTCTGGAGCTGGGGAGCTTCTCCTGCAGATCACAGCCATGGCTGTATGAGCAAACAAACCTGACCTTTTCCCCAGGTCCCACAAGGTCCCTTGACTTTTTGGTCTTTCCTGCCACAGCCCTGGCCAGCACGGGACCAACAAGCATGTAGATGTGCTATGTGCAGTCAGGGTATGGACATTAAAAATGAGTAAACCCATCATTATTGTTTTAAATACTTTCTTTCCTGCGGTGACAGCTTTTTATGGGCCACAACAAGGCACTGACAGCAAGACTTGGTGCTTCTGGCAGACTTTAGGCTGAGCTTTTTCCTTCTGAGCAAGGCTGCTCTTCCAAGCACTTCCCTGGAGCGTTTCCCTCAAAGAGATGGGATTGAAATTCAGCTTTGATCATAAGTGCAGAGACATATCATGGTCTAAAGCTAATGGTTTCTTTGGAGGGGATGGGGTTGGGGTGGAGCAGAGGCCCTATAGCTGAGTATCTGGAGGTAGTTGTGTCTGTAGAGAGCTGGCACCAGGATCACAGCCAACCCTTGCATGGACACCCTATTCCCATAGGAAAGTGGTGGGGTTTTCCCCTCCACCTTCAGGACCGTGGCCTGGAGTTGTTTAGCCACTTCCTGGGGTGGCCAAGGCCTTAGGGTGCAGGTGTGACCTCCTCCTCCCCACCTGGTGCTGCATCCCTGCGTGTGGCACCCTACCTGAGTACTGCATCATCCCAGATACCAAAATTGCCTCCCTCCTGTCTCATCTGCCTCGAGTGATCCCTCCATGGCACCTCTGAGACATTTGGGATCTCAGAATCACAGAATATGCTGAGTTGGAAGAGACCCACAAGGATCATTGAATCCAGCTCCTGACCCTGCAAAGGCCCATCTCCAAGAGTCACACCCTGTGTCCCAGAGGATCATCCAAATGCCTCTTGAGCTCTGGTAGCCTTGGTGCTGTGCCCACTGCCCTGGGGAGCCTGTTCAGTGCCATCCACCCTCTGGGGGAAGACCCTTTTCCTAACATCCACCCTGACCCTCCCCTGACACAACTTCAGGCCGTTCCCCCGTGTCCCACCGCTGGTCACCGCAGGGAAGGGAAACGACCTCGCGAGCGAGACTTTGAGAGCGCCGCGTTCTCCCGCAGGCGCTCAACTGCATCATGGAGATGGTGGAGAAGACGCGGCGCTCCATGGCCGTGCTGCGGCGCTGCCAGGAGGCCGACCGGGAGGAGCTCAACTACTGGAAGCGGCGCTGCAGCGAGACGGCGGAGCCGCGCAAGGCGGGCGCGGAGCTGCTCTCCCGGCACAGCCCCGGCAGCTCCGACTCCGTGGGCAGCGGTGAGTCCAACCCTTCCCGAGTGGGTGTTCTCAATTAGCACAGAGATATGTTAGGCATAAGTGATACGATAATAATACGTTCGAATTGTAATGTAAATTAAGCGGCGCGTAACTGTTCTCAAAGCTTTGAGGAAGCTGGATATGTGGAAGCTCTTGAGTGAGCTCCTGGAAGCAACATTTTACATCTAAAGGTACCATTTCTTATGCCAGAGAAGACTCTCTCTTCCTTGTCACTGAGCCACATTTACTGACCAAACACAGCCAAGCTGATCCAAAGCCGAGAAACCTGGGGGTGAAAAGGCAGGAGAGGTGTTTGGCTCTGCCTCTCTTCCCTTTCCAGTCCTTCTTGCCTAAAGGATTCTAAACGTCAAGGTCTAATTATTCTAAAAATACCAAAGACTTTTGTAAGTATAATAACTACCTTAATTCTATTTTTGTACCATGAGTCAACTTAACTTTATTCAAGCTGACTAGTTTTCCCCTCCAGTGTGCAGGGGTTTGACCCTATACAAAAAACAAGTCTAAAATGATAAGTTGGTTTATTTGGATGTAATTCTAATTTCTGTCCTAACAAATATGCTGTAAATGAAGTCCTGGGGGAAAAAAAAAGCCATGATCATTCAGTAATAAAAATAGATTTTTTTTCTAGCAAGAATAGATGTCAATTTGATATGTACTCCACTTGTTTGTGTACAAACTAAAGAGTGAATCCTCCTGCAAGAAATTCTAGTGCCCATGGCTCCAGCTGTCAGCATGGAGTGTCTGGGCATGTGTGACAGTCTGAGGGGTACAGCCAGCTTTTAGTCCTTCTATATTTAAGTATATCATGACTAATACACTTACAGCTCCATGTTATTAAAGGTAATATATTTTAATATAAACTGGGAATGCTCTTGATGCTTTTCCACTCATGGGACCTGGGGATAATTTTCAAGCTCCATTGCTCTTGTGAGAAGGTGCAGTTAAACATGAAGCAGCATTTCCAGGTGTCTTTGGGGACAGTTGTCCATCAGTTCAAGCCTTTGAATTGCCCAGGGAGTGGGAAATGCTGTGCTTAATGTAAACTGCTGGTGCTCAGGGTCTCTGGACAGTGCAGGTGTTGAATGACATATATTTGTAAGTATTGCCTGTTGCTATAGAGTACCAGGAGATGGAAACAGGTTATATAATGTCATAAATTATGCAAGGTGCTAATTAAATGTTGTAATTTGTCGTCTTGGGTGTTTGAGGAACGGCTTTAACCCTCGGAATCCTCTGCTTTGAGTTTTAGCTGGTCAGTCCTCCCCTGCCCCGCGATGTCCCGAGGCACCTCTGGGCACATAAGCAGCAGGTGGGGGAGATGAGGCTTTGCCAACCTTTCCCTGTGTCCCTTATTCCAACAGATTCACTGCGGGAGTTCAGCAGCAGGTCGGGAACGGGCTACGTCACTGAGGAGATTTGGAAAAAAGCTGGTGAGTGTTTGCTGGTGACCTCGGCCAGGGATTCTGCCAGATCGCTTGGGGTAAACACAGATGCTGTGCAGGAACAGCAGCAGGCCAGCTGCAGGAACGCCCCAGGATGTGCACATCTGGCTGCCAACATCCCCGCCCTGGGCCTTCCAAAGGGCTCTGCTCCTCTGTGGTGCCACTGGGGATCCCGTGGGACTGAGCCTGGCCTGGCTGCTCCCGGGAGCAGTTGGGATTCTGGCGCTGGCCGTGACTCCCTGGGAACGCTCTGCTGCGCCTCTCTTTTCTCTGGGAGGCTCGTCCTGCTCCTCGGGCAGGTGGGTGACGCTGCTCTCTCCTTCCAGAAGAAGCTGTGAACGAGGTGAAGCGCCAGGCCATGTCGGAGGTGCAGAAGGCGGTGGCGGAGGCGGAGCAGAAGGCGTTCGAGATGATCGCCTCGGAGCGGGCGCGCATGGAGCAGACCATCGCCGACGCCAAGCGCCAGGCCACCGAGGACGCCTTCCTGGTCATCAACGAGCAGGAGGAGTCCACGGAGGTAACGTGGCCAAGGGACGTCCCCAGGAAGGGGCTTTTCTTCCAGGCCCTGCTCGAGGGTGGCTCAGAGCCTGCAGGTCCCCCATCCCTTGTCATGGAATCACAGAGCGCACAGTGGTTTGGATTGGAAGGGACCTTAAAGATCATCTTGTTTCAAACCGCCTGCCATGGGCAGGGACAACTCCCACTAGACCAGGTTGCTCCAAGCCCTGTCCAGCCTGGGCTTGCACACCTTTTCCTTTTAGAAGCTTCTCTCTGATCAATAACTAAAGGAATGCACTGATATCGTAAAAAATCCCTTTTGCTTTTGATCTTGCTGGCAGGGAATCAGCCTAAACAGTGTCTGCAGCATCTGTGTGTGTGTGCAACAGCCACGTGAAGGTACCACTGGGGACCCTGAGCTGAACCCAGTGTAATGACCAGGGGTTTCGTGGGATTGAGAGGTGTGGAAGCAAAGAGAAAGTGATGCTGGTGTGTGCAGCTCTGTTTAGCTGTTGAATGCACCGGTCAATAAACACATGATGAGAGTGGGTGGAACTGCTCAGGAAGCCACAAGAGGAATGAGACAAGCAGTGATTTCTCTGTAGGGGAATACCAGAGGAGTGTCCTTCTCCTCCAGCCATACCGGGAAGCATTGTGGGACCTTGGGAGCTGTTGAGCACCCCCTGTGCAAGCCCCAGAGCACATCTCTAAAAGCTGTCCTGTGTTCTGGCACATCATGTAACCTTTGCAACACAGTTTAAAAACAGTTCAAGTGTAAACAGCTGTGAAGCAGTGACCCAGTTTTCCAAGAGTTACCACAGCCTTTGGTGTAGGGGCTTTTTGGTCACAAGTCCTGCTTCTCCTGGAGTGGAGGAGCCTTGGGGATGTGCTGGCTCTGGAGCAGCTCGCTCACAACCCGCTCTCTTTGGTGCTTTGCTGCCAGACTGTAAATGATCATCAGGAGCTGGTGCCTCCAGTGCAGACCCTGTGAGTGGGGAATCTTGCTACAACAGGGCTGCCTGGCACAGCCCAGCATTTCTCACCACCCCACTTCCCTACTTGCCAAGCTCTTTGCCGTGGGTCACAGCAGCGGTGCCCCCACAAAGGTGCCCCGTTGAGCAGGATCAGAGCTGGCTCTGGTGGAGGCTGCATTCCCACAGCTGAGCTCGCCCTCCCCAGTATGTGTTTGCTGTGTCTGGATCCAGCTGCAGGGAAGCTGATGCACCAGCTCCCCTCCTCGGAGCAGCTGCAGCCGCCGCTCCGGCGCTGGCCCTTTGCCCCGCGCTCCGAGGGAAGCGGTGGCACGCCAGGAGCCCACCAGCTGACTCCTCTCCCGGCAGCCAGAGGGGCTTTGCTCTGCTTCCAGATTGAAGCTCGGGCTCTGGCAGTGCTTCCACCTGGCTGGGAGGCTTTCAGATGAGCTTTCCCTTTTCCAAATTGGCCTGTTCCAACCCCTTGTGCAGCAGGGCAGGGTGCGGAGCAAATGGTGCCTGTGCAGCGTGTCGTAATCCCAGCGGAGAGCGCTTGGCTGGGAGCGATACCAAAATAGAGCTGCTTCAAACAGGAAATAAAAAGACCCAACAGCAGCATCTGCAGCATGTTTTTCAGTCTTTGCTTGCTGTTTCCTCTCTGCATTTGGGTGGATCTAGGGGAGAGGATGTGACCGGAGCAGTCTGGCAGCAGCTTTGGGCAGAGCAGAGGAGCGGGGGTTAGAACCGTTGGCAAAGAGCTGTGAAATAGCAGGAATTAATGGATTGGTCGTTTTAATATTACCAAATCTGGGCCAGAGGGGGTGGACAGTCCCCTCTAGAGCTGAGTCAGCACCATCTTCCAGCTCTTGGAAACTAAACCCCTTTCAAGCGTGGTGTCTTTGGTCTTGCAGAGCTGCTGGAACTGCGGTCGCAAAGCCAGCGAGACGTGCAGCGGCTGCAACATCGCCCGGTACTGCGGCTCCTTCTGCCAGCACAAGGACTGGGAGAGGCACCACCGGATCTGTGGCCAAGGCCTGCATGGCCAGAGCAAGCCCCTGGCTCTGCCCACGGGCCGGGTGGCAGCAGGTGCCAAGAGCCTCGACGGCGTCCCCAGCCCGGCCCTTGAGAAGACTTCGGCAACCACCTCCCGCTCCTCCACCCCAGCGTCTGTGACAGCAATAGATACAAACGGGCTCTAGGAGGGAGGCGTTGATTCACTCTGTTTGATTAGTTTCCTGAGTTTTTTTAAGCTGAAAAAGAAACCCACAACAACTGTTACCACTCGACACGTTTGACCCATCGCGCCGCCTCCTCGGAGCGCTGACACTCTGGCTTTGCCATCTCATCCTGCCTTTTCCTTTGTGGCTCATGAACTGGGACAAGCCTTGCCCACAGCAGCTCCCTGCCCCTCTCTGTGGGGGGCACCAGAGCATTGTCAGGACCTGGGGGACATTGGGCACCCACTCGGGGGACCTGGACTGTGGGAGAGTGCTGGCACACACGGGAGATGCTGAGTGTGTGGTGCCCAAGTAGGGAGCCCCATCCTTGTGGCATGCTCAGGCTTCCCAAGGTGTCTGAGCTGCCTCCTTCAGCCACCTTTCTTCCATAATATCCCTCTGTTTTTTTCCTTACTCCCAGCAGTGGGGCCTCAGGTGGCCGTGCCAGCCGGTTGTTGCTGTGAACAGACCAGAGCCGATTCCCCAGCAGGAGCATCCCATCCTCTAGTGCCATGGCAGAAGCTGAGCCCGCTGCTTCTGCCTGCAGCTTGGCAGCTGATGGCTGCAGAGAGGGAGGAGAGGATTTGTCTGCTTTAAACTGAATGTCAGTGCTGTGGGATGGCCTGGATTTCATCCCATTCTGTGGTGGGACAGACGGTTTTGTGCTTCCTGGGTGGGACCTGTGCTGAGGTAACACGTGCAGAGCAGATCTGGGTTGGGAGCAGCTGCCCTTTCCACCTGGGGACTGTTTGGGTGTGCAGAAGGTGTTGGGTTTTTCCACTGCCTGGAAGCTGTTGGTTTGTGAGTTCCTGCCGTTGTTTTTGAGCCCAGGGATCCTCACGGGGTGCGAGGGGGTGATTTACAGCCTGTGCTCTCTGCACACATCGGCCAAACTGCTAAAAGACAGGCAGGACTCGGTGTCCTGAGTCACTTCTCCCTCCCAGCCCCGGGAGGCTCCTGTGGTGCTGCATCGGGAGATGCCCAGGATCTGCCTCCTCCAGCCTTTGGAGACCATCCCAAAAATGCAGGCTGAGAGCGAGGCCCCGTGGGGGTGCTGTGATCAGCCTGGGGAGATCTGTCACTTGGAGATTCCCTGCTGTGGAGTGGAAGGAGGGATTGGAGGGATTCAGGGCAATGATTAACACAGGGCTGCTCTTGGATGCCTCACAGAGGTCAGCAGTGGTGCAGCCCGTGGGAGGGACGGGCATGTGCCCTCTGGGAGCTGCTCCAAATTCCCACAGTCGCACAAACAGGCTCTGGAAATCCACCTATTCAGCAAAGCCGTGTTCCCGTGACTGTGTGTGTGCAATTGCTGGGCTGGAGCCCAATGAGGCGAGTAATTCCCAAATTATTTTTGATCACTTTCTCAATTGGAGGTGAACAATGGAGCTGTAATGAATCGTGACGGAGCTCGCGGCGGGGATGAACGGGAGACCCCGCTGCACCAACCCTGGCTCCTTGGGAAAGCTCTTTGGGAAGCTGCTGTTGTGGGATGGGGTGGGTGATCGTGTGTCTGCAAGGTTTTGTTATGCAAAAAAGCCACCGTGGCTGGTGTTGATGGATTGGGAGTGGCAGAGGGGAGTGTATCCCCCGTGTCCCCAGGAGTAGGTGCTGGGAGAGCCTTTTGCATGGAGCCCAGCACAGCCACTGGGATTGAGGCAGCCCCCAGGGGGAGGCACTGGAGCCACCCTGACCTGCAGCAGCCCAGAGGTGTCACCCAACCTGGGGCAGATGGAGGTGGCCGGGGAGCCCCAGGTGGCCCTCACAAGGATCCCAGAACGCAGCTCTGTCCGTGTTTGCCGTGCCCAAATCCATGGCATGGAGGAGCAGCACTTGGGGCTTGTGAGAGCACCAGGGCAAGGGGCTGCCCTGGCACCCCCACTTAGCCAGGGCTGAAGGGTTTTCCTGCCCTAAGGGGCACATTTGGAGCAGCCTCAGGTAAGTTGTGTGCTTGTGACATCCCATCCTCACCCGCAGACCCGACACTGTGGGTCAGTGGTGGCCAACTGTGCCAAGGTGGGATGGGAAGGGAGAGCAGGGCAGAGCTGGAAGGAATTGCTTGTAAATAGATTGTCTTCCATAATTCTCATGCAACGTTGATGGCTGTGTATTAAAATTAACCCCAGTGTAAATGAATGGAATACTAACAGTCATGATTAGAATGATTGCTTCTTTTTTTGGTTCTTTTGTTTTTTTTTTAAATCATGGAATGATAAATGTGAACTTGGGACATGGGAAGACATTGGGTTGAGGTTTCTATTTTTTTTTTTTTGACATTTAATTCTGTAATAGAAATTTGTTACTTCATTCCTGTGCATAACTTATTTAATGTCCTGTATAAAGGAACCCAAACTGTTACAGATGTATTTAGTTTGTTCTACTCAAAAGTAGTCAATAAAAAGACTATATTCATCCTCCAGCTCCCCCTTCTCTGTGGGAAGGGGTAGAGGTGTTTTCTGCAGTGCTTAGGCTGTTGTTGGGTTTTTTTGGGAAATGCTGCTAGGCCGTGACCTTGGCTGGGGACCTGCAGGGACAAAAGCTGCCTCCCCTGCAGTGGTGATGCTGCTGCAGGTGCTGTGGGAGCCCAAGCAAAGCCTGGGAGCAGAGCTGGAGTTCAGCCCCATACTTGGTGATGTTGGAGTTCATGGTTAAGTGTGTTCTTTTCTGAGCTTTTTTGAACTTACTTTTTTTATTTGAGCACAGACCACCCTGCAGGGTTGATGCTGTCACAGCTGGCTGGCAGTGCCAGCCCTGTGCCCCCAGCCACCTGAGGATGCCCCCTGCACACATGTTGGCCTAATCTGAGGATTTTGCTCTCCAGGCTCCTGCAAACACTAATCCAGTGGTGAAGAAGCCCAGAACTGAGGGGCAAACCCCACATGGGGCTGGGGAGGCAGCTCAGGAATCCCAAATCAGTGTCTGCTGCAGCTCTGCCCTTTGTGGATGCTCTGGGTGCCCATCTCTAACCCACCCTGGCTGTGCCCTGTCCCTTTACCAATGGCCCACGGCCCCTCTGTGGCCCTTGTGTGTAGTTCCCAAGGAGGGAAGGTGGCCCTTGGTGATGGAGCTGCCTCCCCTGCCCTGTAATGATGGTTTTGGGCAGGGCAGTCAGCAGTTATCAGTAACAGGGTACATAACTGGGCACTTGGAGGATGGGTCCCCAGGGAACTGGGAGGAGCATTTGTGGTTTGGTTCCTGAGTCAGCCCTGGGACGTAGGACAGGGTTTGTTGGTGCATATCTGAGCTGCTGTTCCTCCCCTCTAATGAGGAGCTTCCCTGATCCCATTTCTGCGTGTCACTCCTGGCATCAGCAGTGTCACCCCCATACCCCAAACCCAGGGAGCCCCTAGAAAGCTTCTGCTGGGGCAAAACAAGCACCCCAAACCCAGCAAGCCCCTCTGTGTTGTCACTCCATGGTACCAGGGCAGGGGCTGACACTGTGTCAGACCCACCCAGCACAGTGTGTGTGAGGTGTCCCCATGTTGGAGCTGCACTCACTGCCCCTTCAGCCATGGATTTTACTTATTGCCTCCAGGGATTTGGGAAGAAACAATCAAAATTAGTATTTCTGGTGGAGCAGCACGAGGGAAAAGAGGTTGAGGGGTGGTAGCAGCCCTGAGCGTCGAGGGTGCAGGCACCTGTGGTGACCCACGTGGGTGCTGGGGACAGACAGGGGCGCAAGAACAGTGGTGTCCTCCATGCCAAGAGTCCCTGGGGTCCCTGCCTGCCCCGTGTGCCCTTCTCCCCTCACTCCACACTGTTTGTGATGATGCATTTCACCCCAGCTCAGTGAAGGATTTGCTGCTCCAGCACCAACAACAGACCCATGAGCACGACCCGTGGACCAGGTGGGCTTGGGCCACTCCAGCCCTGGGCCTTTCCCCCTCATTTTGTGCCCCCTCCCATGGTGCCCATCACCATTAACTCAGTTACAGCCTCTCTGGCAGCTCTGCCTGGTGCTAATGCCTATTTATGTGAACTCATGGAGCAACAGAGCCACACTGGCCTTCCCCGGGATGTGCTGGGACTGGAGCCACTCTGGCCTCCCCAGGGACTGGGATGTGCTGGGATTGGATCCACACTGGTCTCCCTGAGGAGCAGGGTGTGCTGGGGACGGGCACAGCCTTGGGCACAGCTGGGGCACACAAGGCTGGTCTCAAGGCCACTGCAGTGGGTGCACAGGCTGCCAGCGTGCCAGGGCCTGATGAGGCACGCCTTGCCAGAAATAGTTCATTAAATACTTTTTTCCCTATAAACCACTTATTCACCATCCATACGAGGCCACCTGGCTCCCTGGGCAGAGCTGCTGCTGGCCCGGGGTGGCTCTGGTGGGCAGGGCACAGGGATGTCACAGCTGGCCCCAACCATGTCCCCCTGCCCATCCCAGCACCCCGTGGAGCCTCGGGCAGCCCTCAGAACCGGGAGGAAGAGGAGCTGGAGCGCAAAAGGGGCTGAGGGGACACAGCAACCAGACCAGTGGTCCCCCAAGGGCCAGGGTGTCACCCCCAAACACGGCTCCCCCACCACTCAGGGAGTGCTCTGCTCTCACCAGGCAGCTCAGAGACTGTCTTGGGGTGGAAATAAATAAGTAAATTAACAGGAAAACAGCAGAGGTGAAACACTGGCAGGGCCGAGGGCAGGCAGCCCTGCTGGGCAGCAGGAGGGGATGAGGGACAGGGAGAGGAGGAACGTGAGGGAAGGCGAGGGCTGTGCCGAGGGCTCCACGTCCTCCCGCATGCTGACGGTGTCCTGAGGTGTCTGCCTGGGTCAGTTGTTGTTCATGATCCACCAGGAAGCTGGGGAGAGACGGAGAGGGATCAGGGATGTGAGGGCAGTGTTAGACAGGAGAGGGATGTAGGGTGGCAGGGATGGGGGTCCTGGCCCTAAAGCACCCACCCCCTCTCCCAGGGCAGGGAGCACAGCCATGGGATGGCCTGGAGATGGGTGATCCCCCTTGAGCTGTGGCAGCTTCTGCAGGAGAGCACTGGGAATGTGGGCAGTGGGACCATCAGGTCAGGAGCAGCGCTGGCAGCAGAGGGTTCAGTCCAAATTAATCCATGTTTTATGTTATTTTACACAAGACCTGAATGTGATCCCTGAAAGTAAAGTGGGGCTTAATGTGGTCCCCAGTTCCCACATCTGGTCACATTTCTACTGGTACTACAGGAATGTGCACATTCCCTGTGTTGGCCTCTCCCCTGCCTCAGCACTGGGCTGTAACCCTGGATGCAGCCACTGGGACTGACCCAGGAGCACCAGAGCTTTGCAGAACAGGTTCAGAGCTCAGGTGAAAACCAAAACAAGGCACCAGGTGTATCTGAGACAGGGCCCAGCTTATCTGCTGCCTGGGAAGTGCCCCTGCTGCTTGGCTGTCCTGGCTGAGGAGCATCCCTGGGCAGGGGACAGACCCTGCAGCACCACCAGCTCACACAACCAAACCTGCCGGGGACAGTGGGTCTCACCCTGGCTTGAAAAACCCGATTTAGATCACCCCAAACCAATCTTCTGCTCTGGAGGGAGCCCCTGTGCCTGTTCCTGCACTGCTCCTGCCCTCTGCAGCACACCCGGGGCACAGCGTGGCACTGGGGGACCCCTCACCTGGGAAGAGCATGGTGGTCAGCAGCTCCGGGGACTCCAGCAAGCTGATGATGGACTGCTGGAAAGTCTTGCTGCAGCTGGACTGCAAGTGGCTGTAAAACAAGGAGCAGGGTCAGAGGGGTGCAGGGGGTGCAGCCTCTGGTGCCAGGATCCCTGTCCACGCACGGGGACACGGCTGCTGCTGCACCAGATGCTCTCTTACGCTGCCAACAGCCCCGAGGTGCACATGAGGGTGTTCTGAGCAGCACTTCACAGCTGTGAGCAGTGCCAGCAGCAGGACAGGCTGGGCAAGGAGGGGGAGCCCCGAGAGGAAACCCCTTTGAGCCCCCCCCCAGCCTCCAGCCCCAGCCCTGCACACGGAGAGCTCCCACCTTCTCCACGAGGTCACGTCCTGCCAGAACTCGTACAGGATGAAGCAGGCCTCGTCTGTCAGCTTGCAGGCAGAGACACTGTGGGGACAGGAGTGACCCTGAGCTGGGGCTGGGCAGGCTGGCACGGCGCTGGCACAGCCACGTGTGCCCCACCAGCCCGGGCACATCAGCCTCCCCACGAGGCTTCCAAAGCACAGTTTGGATGCATCTAGTTTGTGGCTGCTGGAGCACACAGCTCCAGGGGATTCCAAACCCAAATCCTGCCTCGCAGCTCCTGTGTCCAGGCAGCAGAGGAGCTTTAATGCCTTTAAACTGGTCTTCACTGCTGCTCAGGAATCAGCACAGTCAGTGTTTTATTATTTCCACATATCCCCAGCATGGGCACAGCTCATCCTTCCAGCCCTTTGGAGGAGGTGTCACCATTCACACGGAGAGAAACTGAGGCACAAGAGCAGGAGCTGAGCTCACAGCACAAACCCACAACCTGCTGCCCCCAGAGCGATGCCATTGCCCCAGTGATGCTTCCCACACTCCCTCCTGCCACAGGAACAGACTGGGCCTCCAGCCTTTGGGAAGATGGGGGGCAGCAGGAGGGGGGTGAGAGCACAAGGCTTGGGGTGCAGGGCTGGGGGAACCAGCTGCACTCGGCTGCAGCAGCAGCAATTCCAGCTGAGGATGAGCCTTTCCTCCAGCTGCTGCCAAGGGCTGCTGGAGGGGGCCAAGCTCTGGGGGGACAGCAAACAACTCCCCCAGCAGCTCTGAGGTTGCATCCCCCTGAGGAGCCACGATGGGCTTTGCAATTCCCTGGAGTGAACCAGGACTGTGGAGTCTCCCCGGGCTTGGCTCCAGCTTTCCACTCACGTGGAGAGCCTGCCCGTGACACACCACCCCGTTGTCTCCACAAATAGCTCTCATGACAAAAAAGCCCATCGATTCCAAAGAAAAGAACTCCCATTCTCCCCGTCACATGTGTCACAACGAGCATCTTCCTTTTGTTTGGACTGAAAACGTGCATTTATGCTGCTGAAACTGAAGAGCTGAAAAACGGCGCTTTAAATGGGAACAGCATGAACATTCCTGCTGAAAGAGGCTTGAAAGCTCCCACGGGAGAAGGGAAGTGCCGCTCAGGGAGCAGCTGTGCCATCTCAGGGACAGGCTGGCAGTGATGTGTCCCTGCAGGCAGACCCAGGCTCTGCTCAGAGCCCTGGAGCAGCACTGGGGGCAGCCTTGGCCTCACGCAGGGGCAGCTTCAGGTGCTCACGGCTGCTTCCCACACACCCCATCCATAAATCAACGCTCCGCACCAGCTCTGCCCTTGACCTGTCCATTGCTTTCAAGTCCTTCAGTGCTGGAGGAGTTCGTGCACTCACTTACATGCACGTGCCATTCCTGCTGGCATAAAACCCACCCCCTCCTTCCCAGACACTGGTTTTTACTGGGAATACCTGCAGCAGGAGCTGGGACAGTGCTGCTGGCAGGGGCAGTGCTGCAGCCCTGACACACTCACCCTCTCTGCGAGGTCCAACCCCTGCGTGCTGAACCCGCCTTTGCACCGACCAGCACACGAAACACTCCACAAAAACCCTTTTGTCCCCCCCAAAGGTGCCATATTAAAGCCCCCATTTCTGGGGGAGCCACCCCACAAACCACCCCACGGACCCCCCACTTACTGCAGGCAGCTGCTGTGCCCGGCGGTGCCTTCGGTGTAGGAGCGGAACGCCTGCCGGAACTCCTCGATGCTGCTCGTGGCCACCGAGATCTGCCTCTTGGCCACCAGGATGTGCTGGCAAGGGACAGAAGGGCATCAGGGACTGGCCTGTCCCCTCCTGCCCTCCCTGCTCCCACCCTGCTGCGGGACACGGCGGTGCCAAGCAAGCACAGCTCCGCAGTGGGACTGGCACCACAGTGCTGGGGATGACGGGGACATGAAGTGGCTTCCTCCCACCTGGGCAGGTTGCCTTTACACCGAGGACTGCAACAACAGGAGATGCTCCATCCCCTGGTGGTGGAGTCCTGCTGCAGTTCCATGTGTCCTTCCCACAGCAGAAAGGGCCTTGGGGACCCTCCACCTGGGCTGTGCATAGAGCACACCTGGGGGATTTGGGCTCTCACAAGCAGAGAGTCACCTTCCTCTGGGCTGGCTGTGGGCACCGCCTGGGGCTTTCAGGGGCCTCAGGGAGCTGCATTTGTCCTGGGCATGGTCCCACACCCAGCTCACAGCCCTGAATCCCACCCTGATCCATCACCAGGCTGTAGACTCCTCGTCAGCACACAGGCAGAGCTCACCCAGTCTCGGGGCACAGGAGCTGTGTGAGGGGGGATCTGTGCACATTTGGGGTTACCTGCAAACAAGGAGCAGCAGGACAGGGACTTACTGCGTCTTGTCCTTTGCACATGGATTCCTCCTTCAGCGGCTCCAGGCGTGGGCTCTGCATTCAACACCACGGGGAAAATCAGAGTTACTGCAACAAGGCAAACCTGGGAACCCACAGCCCAGCTCAGGGGACAGGCAGGTACACTGGGGGTGTTCCTGGGGTACTTGGGGGAGGACAGGCATGTGACCTGTGGGGTTGGTGGGTCCTGACTGACTTGTCAGATCAGCAGGACCATGGGAGGGTCAGCAGAGCTGAGAGGAGAAGGGTGGCTCTGGAGACTGCAAGTCTGGGTCTGGTGAGTGGGTGCAGCTCTGTGACGATGCCAGGACCGAATATGGGGGGTGCTGGCACAGGGAGGGGTCCCAGCACCGACCTGGCTGTGCCAAGGTGTGGGGCAGCCCCCAGCAGCTCCCCTTGGCCACACACCTTGCACTCTAGCTTCTCGATGAGCTGCTGGAGCCTGTTGATCTGAGCCATCCACTGGCTGTTGTCCTCGACACAAACACCTGCATGGCAAAGGGCACAGAGATGTTACAAAAAAACCCTCAATTTTGTCATTGCAAAAGCTTGCTCAACACCCAGAAAACCACGGATCTTCTAAAAACCTCTGATTTAAGCCAAAAACCTGATATTTCTGCTGAAGCTTCTCCTACTGCCCAAGGGATACAACACCCCACAGAAGCTGGCATCTTGGTGAGATGCTCCAGGCTCCACCCCAGAGCTGCCCAGTGATGCTGTAGATGTGGCACTTGGGGACATGGTTTAATGGTGGCTTTGGCAGTGCTGGGGTAATGGTTGGACTCGATCATAGAGTCCAACCTTATTGATTCTGTGCTGATCCCACACCCATTCCAGGCTCCAGGGGGGCACAGACCAACCCCAGGGACACCAGGGACACCGGGGACACTGGGCTGCAGGTACCTGTTGTCAGCATCCCGGAATAAGGGTCTGTTGGAGACAGACAGACGTTCTTCTGTCCTCTGCGCCCACACCGTCTCCCCGACCTCAGGCCAACTGAAGTCTCAGGTTTCTTTATGTCCTTTCTGGAAGGATAAAATGCAGAACAAGGGGTTGAAGTCATTCCCAGAGGGATCAGCTTCATGGCGGGCTGGGAAAGGGCAAATCCTGCTCTGGGATGTCCCTCCCAGGGAGACCCTGCCCCATCCTGCACCCACACGAGCGGGGCTGGGAAGGGCCAGCACGTCCCACCCCGTTACCTCTCCCGTCCCGCCTGCTCCTCCACGGTGTCCACAGCACACTCCAGGGATGCCTGCAGGGACTGCAGCTGGTGCATGGTTTCCCGCAGCAGGAATCGGGTCAGGAACTGCTCTATCTTGGAGGAGGTCTCATACCTCTGCGGGGGAGAGGAGAGGATCTGTCAGGCACCTCTGACTCCATGCGGGGGGAGCAGAGCCACACCTGGAAGGGGTTGGCCCTTAAATAAACTCAAAGAGGTGGATGTCAATCAAATTTTTAGTTATTTCAGAAAAAAGTGACGCTATAGGGCAGAAGAACCCTCTGGGCAACTGCCTGTGAGATCACAACAGGGAACCCAGGCATGGTTCCATCTGCACTCCAGCCAAAGGACCCTCAGTCCCGGCCCCAGCAGTCTCAGCCCTGGCCCCAGCACTCTCAGCTCCGGGAGCCGTGGAGGAGAGCAGATGGACACAAGCCACAAGGTAAAGGGACTGTCCCCAGCTTCAGGGAGGGTTCCAGGGCTGGCAGAACATCCCTCGTGCCCCCCCGTTCACACACGGCTCTGCTCGCACCAGGGCTCTCAGGACAAGGCCAGGACCCCACTGCGATACCCAAGGTGCAGGAAGCCCCTTCCAGGGATCCCTTACCACTGGCAGGCCAGGATAGGGGCTGGCTTCATGCCCTCTCTCCCTGGGAAGACACCACCAAGCCCCTCTGCTCCCACAACAGGTTCCGTGATGAATGTCTGACGTGCTGGTGTTCAGGGTCACCCCACAGACCTTCCCCATGTCACTCATCGAGTACAAGTGTGTGACAGCCCCTGTGAGCCCCAGCCCACCTGCCCCCTGGCACTGGAGGGGTGTCCAGGAGGAATATGGGTCTGTGTGTCCATTCCCCACCACTGTCCTTCTGGATCAGAGGTGAGGAGTGAGCACCAGGAGAGAATCACCTCCTTTGATGTCCTGGGCACACTCCTTTGGATACAGTCCCAGATTCGGTCCAACCACTCCACTCTCCTGTCCAGTTTTCCCTTGCTTCCTTAAAACCACCTGAAATTCTGTCCTTGCACTGCCAGAAAATCTCCAGGCCCCCAGGGAGGGAGACAAGGTACCCAAGGAGGGATACTCAGCGAGACATGGAGCGAGGAGACAGGAGGAAAGGCTGCGACAATACCCAGACACTTCTAGAGCAGGCACTGCTGTCCTGCAGTGGGGCTGAGCCGCTCTCCCTTGCAGAGCAGGTACTTGGGCCTGGTTTGGCTTCACGAGACCCCTCTTGTCCCACTGCAGGCTCTTCCTCCCTCCCCGGCATCCCTCCGGAGTGCCAGCCATGCTGAAGCCTGCAGTCGTCATCGACAGCGGCAGCAGCTTCACCCGGGGTGGCTTTGCGGGGCAGAGGCAGCCCCAGTTCGTTCTAAGGACTGTGCTGCTGCACCCCTGCAGTGCAGGCCCCAGGAGGGACAGCCAGCAGCATCCCACTGCCACGGGAAGAGCGGAAGGCTTCGCCGCAGCACCCAGGTCCTGCCCGCTCCAGCACGGCATCGTTGAGGATTGGGATGGCATGAAAAGCCTGTGGGGCCACCTCTTCTCCTGCAGCCTCAGAGTTCCGCCAGAGGAACACCCGGTGCTCCTGGCTGAGTCCCCGTCCTGCCCTGCCACCGACAGGGTGAAGGCAGCCGAGGTGCTTTTTGAAAGCTTCGGGGTGCCGGCCCTGCACATGGCCAACACCGGGTTCCTGTCCCTCTGCGCCCACGGCAGAGTCACCGGGCTGGCCGTGGAGGCCGGGGCGGGAGTGTCCCACGTCACCACCGTCTGCCTGGGCCAGACCCTGAGGAAGGGCACCCAGCGCCTGGGGGTGGCCGGGGAGCTCCTGTCCAGCCACCTGCACCGGCTGCTGCTGGAGAGCCCCAACCAGCCCGCGGCGCTGCACGCCCTGAGCAGGAAGACGCTGTCCCAGCTGAAGAAGCAGTGCTGCTACGTCTCCCTGGACTATGAAAGAGATCTCCAGGACCAAGGTTGCCACCATCCAGCCCGATTCCAGACGCCAGATGGGCGCTGGATAACCCTGGGCAAGGAGCGTTTCTGCTGCCCGGAGCCGCTCTTCCAGCCCAAGCTGCTCCAGCATGGCTGCCCCGGGCTGCACCAGCTGGCCTGGCAGAGCCTCCAGACGGTGCCCGACCACGCCAGGACGGACGTGCTGGGCAACATCGTGCTCTCAGGTGGCTCCTCCATGTTTCCTGGCTTCCCAGAGAGGATGTGCTTAGGGTTGAACCTCCTTTCCCAAGGCACAGGTGTCCAGATTGACGTCCTGGCGAGCCCGGAGAGGGGCACGGCAGCCTGGCTGGGGGGCTCCATGGCAGCGTCTCTCACGTCCTTCCAGCGCGCGTGGATGACAAAGGGCGAGTACCAGGAGCACGGAGCTGAGTATGTGCACACCAAATTCCAGTAGATAGATGGCAGCCATCCCACCAGTCAAGCTACAGGAGGACGGACTCCAAAATACCACCTTGCCCCGGGCAGAGCTGCGGCAGCAGTGACCGAGGGCAGCTCCCGCGCTGCTACAGGGAAGCAAAGTCAATTAAAGTGCTCCAAAAGGAACAAACTGCTTCTCATTGACACTCTGGGTTATTTCCGTGCCCATCCATGGCAGCAAAGCTGTCCTTTTCCAATGGAAGTGCAGCTGCCAGCACAGGGAACAAGGCTGCTCCAGCTGTCAGCACAGCAGGACCCCCGAGGTCTGCGGGGAGCCACAGGGATGGGAGGAAGGAGCTGAGGAGGGGAAGGTCCACATGGTGCCTGCACTGCAGCCACTTTACTAAAGCAGGCAATTCCAGATCCCAGCACTGAAGCAGCTCAGGGCTGGGTGTGGAGATGAGCTGAAAACCAGGGAATTGAACTCACTCCTTGTAATTTAGGTATAAAGGTCATTTGGTGCTTCAGGGAGCCGATTCAGCTCCCTCAACAGGCATTTCCTCACCTGGCTTTGCTGCTGCTTCAGTGAACTGACTCAGCTCAGTAGATGATTAGAAGAGGATTGGAAGTTGCAGGGGGGAGCAGCTGGGGAGCACAGCCCAGCTGTCACAGCAGCTCCCTTCCCTACAGCCAGACCCATTCCAGCTCCTCATGGGACACAGGCAGGACTGCAGTGGGAAGGAGTCTCCACATGATGCAGGAGGGCTGGTTGCTCCACAGAAGCATTCACCAGGAGAGGTCAACCCCTCTCCTTGACAAGACAAGGAGACAGACCAGCATCCCCTCTGCCTTCCCTGTGGTGTCCTCATGTGACCCCAAGGCTGTGGCACAGACCCAGAGCCAGGCTGCCTTCACCCCCCCAAGCTCCATGAGCCATGTCCAAAAGAATGTCCAGCAATGCCACCACATTACTTGGGTCAAATATTTCCAATTCCTACTGCGTTTCTCTCCAACACACTGAGGATCTGGAATTCCAGAAGCTCTGTACAGAAGCATGTGGATGTAACCCTTCCATTGCTGGTGCCAAAGTAGGGGAAGGGTGGGGAAGGCCTTGAGCCCCTCGTGGTTTTCTGGTTGTTCTGTGCCACAGCCAAGCCACCAGCCCGGTCCAGGAGCTGCATCCAACTGGGCACAGCTGTGGCTGGCTGGGAGGGGAAGGTAAGTGGAGAAAGTGGAGAGGATACTCATCCCCTGGGCTCGTGCTGGAGTTGGCAAAGGAAGGCCACAGCCACCCCCCAGCACCAGGGTAGGCAGAGCAGCCAGGGGGGGTTTCATTCCTGCTGGAAAATGAATCCCATTTTCCTGCCAGAGGAAGAGGATGGCAGCGGAGCCGACACGATGCAGCCATGGGAAGCTGAGCTCCAGCTCTGCATCTCTGGGCTCTCCCCAGCCAAGCATCCCACCTGATCCCACAAGACTTCCTTCCCCACAGCCCCAGCAATGGAGAGCACAGGGCTGGGTTCCCCTGCCCAGCCCTTCCCCTCCCCACTCCCAAGGGGGGCAGGAACCAAAACCCCTGACAGCACCACTTATCTGTGCTTGCCCAGCTCCTGCCAGCCCAGACACACATTCCCTGCTTATGAGGGAACAACCAACACTCCAATCTCCCCAGGACACACCTGGGAAAGCAGGAGCACAGAGGATCCATTATTCACCCCCCACATGGCCTGGCACAGTCTGTGTCACTCCAGGAGCATCCAAATCCAAATACTGTCACCTCCCTGGCAGCACAGAGGGCACTTCCACCAGCAAGCAGCCTCCACAGCCTCCACAGGCAAATGAGGTGTGTTCCCACCCCCAAAGTGTCCTTCCCAGCACCCCCCCACCCTTGGCCTATGGATCTTCACCTTACATGGGGGTTGGATGCTTCTCCCCCAGCACATCACACCCCTTCCAAGGGCCAGGTGCAGGGAGAAGCACCAAGCAAACCTTCCAGCACCCTCCATGCTCTCAGCTTTCACCCTGAGGGGGCCCAAGCCTTCTGTCCTTCCTGGATGATGTGGGTGGATGGAGTTTTACAGCAGGAGCAGGCGCTGCTCCCACTGACATCACAGCTGGGGGGGGCACCTTGAGCCTGCCCCGAGCCCCACAGCTCCCCCAGTGCAGTCCTTGCACCCCAAACACACAGGCACAGGCATCAGCCCGGGGTGCCATCCCCCAAAACCCAACTGGCAGCCCGGGGCACGCTGTGCTCGGAGGGGACTCGGCCCTGGAGGGTCCCACGTGGACACGTCAGCACCGCACAGGACGAGCAGCTGCCTCCTGCCTCTCACCCTGTCACACACAGCACACCCAGGGGAACGTGCTGGAGGGAAGGATGGAAATAACCATCCCTCCAGAGAGCCCCAAATGCTGCTTCACCCAACATCAAGTTGAAAAATGTCATGCCAGGCGAGGGAATCAACTGAAAAACACACCTTTGCTTCAGCCCAGCTGCCCAGCCCTCCTTGCACTCCTCATCTGGGGGCAAACAAGCAAAATCCTCTCATCAGGAGCTGCCCCACGTGGGTCAGACCCTCTGTAAACAGAGGTTCAATGAAAATGTGCTCTGGCTCACCAAGTGCAGTTTTCTGCCCACAGGGAAGCCCCATGGACAGGAGTCACAGAGGAAATAACCCAGCGAGCACGAGACATGGAATTCTGGTCATGGACTGCTATTTCAGCTCTCTTTACCCAGATGAAAATCCCCAGGTTGCCAGGAGCTGCTATAATGCTGCTTTTGAGAGGTTTTATTAGTTTCTTACGATGACAGTTAAGCTCAGGACAGAACAGAATAGGTGGTCACATTCCTGCCAAAGGAGAAATAACAGCACCTGGCTTAGAGAGGCATTTATGGGCTGGTTTGCAGTGTTTGCAGACTGGAGAATGGAAAGATTTTAGCATACAAGCCCCCTGGGAGAAACATCAGGCCGTTTCCCAAGGTATTTCCACAGTTCACTTCCTACTCTGCTGCTATTCTATTGCAAACATGAAGTTCAGCCACAAAATAAGGTGTCATTAGCACCCTACAGCACAGCCATCGAGTTATACTTTACAAATATAAGTGGGAATGACAGGATTTGGAGAAAAACCCTCTTTTCTTTACCATGCTTCTACCAGCCCAGTGAGGGAGGATGGAAGCTTGGGGACTCCTAATGATTTGGTTTCCTCCTGCCAACCTGCAGGCACACAGAAGTGGCCAAGAGCAGCTTTATTGCTCACACACACACACAGTGTCCTGCAGTCCCACAGCGAGGACAAACCCAGCTTGCATTTCTCCTGCTTTATCCCAGCATTTATCCTGCAGCTGACAAGGGGCATGGCAGCAGATCCAGGGGTCTGCCAGCCAGGAGACAGCTGTGGAGACATGACACTGATCCATGCCAGGGATCCTGGCCTGCAGAGGTGGGAATCCTCCACACCAAAAGGGCTTTTGGCACCACAGCTCCCAAATCCAGAGCTACAGAACACTCCCTCCAAGCTTTGCTTTCCTTATTTCCCTCCTTGCTGTAGCTCATGGCCCTGGCATGGCCTGAGCAAGGCCAGCACATCCCCTGGGCTCTGTTTCTTCTGCCAACGAGGCAGCCCAGGCTCTCTGAGACTTTTCCTGGTTGTAGAGTAGGGTTTTATTTACATGAGCCTGTTTACAGCTGTGGGGAAGTACCTGGAGGATGCAGGGGTGAGAAATCTTGTGGCAACAGCAGTAAGAAACTGGAGATGGATAATGCCCTGACCAAGAGATGCTGTGGCTCAGCTGGTGAGACCCAGCACAAGTCAGAAATCCCCTTCCCCTTCTTCCAGCCAGTCTGGACATCACTGCCTGCTCAGGAATCACGTAAAGTCCTCTTAAATACAGCCTGGGAAGAACTTCTGCTGCCTGCACAGCCCTGATCTGGAGGCAGAGCTCTGTGGGGAGGGTCATTGGAGCAGGCAGGTCTCTTCCAGTTCCCTCAGAGCGCTACAGCTGCAGCTCCAGCACAAGCAGCATCCTGGGAATGATTTGTCTGGCTCTTCCAAGGGGTGGTCTCTCTGCCAAAGTGGGGCTCTCAGACCTCAGCCCGGGGTGTCACAAGAGTGAATCAACAGGAACAAGGGGCAGGTGTAACATGGGAAGTCTCTGCTCTCTGTCCCCACCCCCGGCTCACAGAGGGGGAAGTTCTGCCCAAAATCCAGCCGAACAAAGCCACTCATCCCATAGTAACTCAAGTAACTCGAGTCCAATTCTGGAAATACAAATCTGGGAATATATTCAGGTCACAACAGGTAAGAAGGCAGCATTTATCATCTCTGGCAGCCTCTAGAATGGCAGGTGTCCCACAGCTCTGCAAGGGCTCTGCCCACAGGGTCGGAGCATCGTCCCTTCCTTCCTTCTCCCCAAACCAGAGCCCAGCAGACCAGGAGAGTGCAGGGAGATGATTCCCAGGAGGGTCAGTGTCTGCATCAGGGCACTCAGGAGCTCAGGGCTGGGATCAGAGCACCTGATCAGCACAGATCTCACCTGGGTGAGAGCAGTGCTGCTGCCCCGGCTCTGGGCAGATCCAAACAGGTGGAAAAGCGAGTCCATAAAAATCTGTTCCAATGGGGAAAACCTGCTTCTCTTTTCCAGGGAACACCAGTGGCACCAGAAACTATGAAGTGAATGGATGCATCACACCAGTACTGTGAAGCAGACAGCGACTGTGCTGTCCTTTGGAGAAACACATGAATATACACATTCATCACACACAGAAAAACAGACCAGAAAAGAACTGAAATAAAGCATAGCTCTCTGGAGAGGACTCCTTCTCTCCCTCTGGACTTGCAGTTAATAACTGTGAAGGGGGCAGGGCAGCTGAACCAAAGAGAAAATGCATTTTCCAGTGATTCCCTCTCCTGGCATGAAATTTCCCAAGGTACAGGGAGACACTGCCGCGTCCGGGTCTGGGCAGAGGAACACTCAGAGAGAAGGACTGACACTACAGAGGCACAAACACCACTGTGATGACTGTGGGACAGATCCCTCCTTGCCTCTCTGGCAGATCAACAGGTCAGTGGATGATGCCCTTCATTCCCAAGCATCAACCCACTGCACCGAAGGGAAGGAAAGGGCTGGCCCTTCCCAAGGATGGAACACAGCATCAGTCCCAAGCACATTTCATACATTTCAGGGGC